AACTAAAAACACATTATTAGATCCATTATGCAGACTTTGGACTTTCCCACATAATTGCTTATTTCTTAACATTTATCTTTGTATTATTCAGGTAGACATGTAAAGAAGCAATGTTTAACAATGTAAGAACATCTGGACTAAGATTCAAAAAACCTAGATTTAGGACATACCTGGAATATTTTTTCATACGAAATCATTTATAAAGAGTTAAATACATACAGATACTCTCAGTCAAAAAATCACATGCTTATGATAAAACATGGCTCTGTTTCAGTCAAAATATATAACAAGAATTGAACGGAATGGCAATGAGGACAATGAGACTCTCTGCTTTGTAGCTGTGACCTCAGAGAGTTAGCTTATCACTTTGGGACTTGACTTCTTTAAGATGAATAGAATTCAAATAGTCATCCAAGTGAAGGTTCACATCTTTATTTTGAAATTTTTAAAAAGTTTATTTCCTTAATGAGCCAGAGAGAGAGAGAGAGAGAAGAAAGAGAGAGAGAGAGAGAGAGAGAGAGAAATTGGGTCTTACCATGCCACAATTCTCCTCTGAGCTTCCTATCTAGTCAGGATCATAGGCACATCCAATTCAAGTCAACCCAGAATTCAAACCTGGACCTCCCATATTGGCTCCAGCATTGTGCAGCAGTGCCTGACCACGTGTACCACTGCAGCTCAGTCCTGCAAAGTTCACCTCTGGCTCCTCTTGTATTTTTAGTATGATAATGGTTTTATGTAAAACAGGCTTTCTTCATGCTCTGTCTAGTTTCCCAATCATCTGCCTCATATGAGGCATTGTGTCATGAGAAATGCAAATATGGGCAAATTGCAATTGTCTCAAGTTTCCAGCCGGTTTTCAGAATGCTATTTTAATGAAGGTGCAAAAGCTCTGACTTAGTTTTCCAGCCCTGAATTTTATCATACTTAAGTATGATAAATGACTGGGCTCCTCTCCCCCTGCAAAGAGTTTACAACTGTAAGTAAAGAAAATAACTTCTGGTCAAAAAAAAAAAAAATCTGGTCAAGGAATGAAAATAACATCTTAATTTAAGTGGCAGATAATGAGTAGAAAATTTTATCCTTAAAATTATAAGTATTTATATACTGTACCACTATGAAACAAAACAAAATCATTTTGAAAGAAAGTTGGAGGAATTACTAGGTAAAAAAATCACTGCATATTTTTAATTTATCTGATTATTGCTATTATTAAATTGATATTGCTAATCATACTTCATTATTATATATACCGTTATCATAACCCATATTTCAAGATGTAATAACATCTTCTATTTAATGTAATGAGTTAGAATAAATATTTTGGTTTGTTTTTTTTTGCTCATCAGTGACTTGGTTTATACTTCTTTTAGCTTATATAGATACCCAATAAAAACAGAAGAACATGAATAATAAAACCTTAATTAACTTCATAAAAGTCTCATAAAATAGAGTATCCTGAGGAACTACAGCTTTTATTCATAGAAACCCCCCACTTTTTTTTGTTAGAGCTCTTAAATTAGTAGTCAGAAACTGCTGAATATATTACATCATTTTTTATCTGACATAAGGGTCATTATTTTGGCTCAGCTCTTAGTGTTCATTACTGTAATATCAATACGCTAAGATGTAGGAGACTGATTTTTGTTAGTGCTGATAGTAGAATAAACTCTGAACACCTCGTGAAAAATGCCTTAAATATATTTGTGTTCTTGAAACACCACCAAGTATTTAGTGACTATTCCATGTCAGGAACAGGAAAGTTTTTCACTCCCTTATCTCTGATGCTCACCGCAGCCCCCAGTTTGCTCAGGAAACGGAATAGCATCAGTCTTGGTTTTCCTTTCTTCAAAAAATGGTGTGCAGAATCCTTTCTTACTGAAACTACCCCCGATTAAATGAGGCTTCCAGTAGGTGCAGAGTCTGGTTATGAATAACTCAGGTTTGTGCTAAGCAGGATCATGAACCTTCCTCTGCTTGTTTCCTCTTGATTCAAATTTTCAAAGCCTATATTAACAGCTGGTTATGGTCCAGTGAGAATGTAAGGAACCATTTTGAGTGTCACGTTCCTCTGTTTTTATTTCAATCATTTACCTAAGTACACTGAAGGACGGCCTTAAACAAATGCTGATTAGCATTCACAACCTGTATCTTTGACGAAGGACCAGCAGCTGTCATCAGCTTATTTTGCTCCGTGTTCCATATAATTGCTAAAGAACCTTTGTTTCTCAAAGTATTAGCAAGATTTGTAATTTAGTTTAGAATGCTTTAATTTAGCCCAGCACAGATAATGACTTTCAGGTGTCTTCAAGTAACATGAAGTTACAAAGACAGTTCAGCTTTCAGCAGGATTTTATGCAGGCTGATTTCCAAATGGATCAATGAAAGTCTTGCTGAATCAGCAATGACAGGATTCTACCAGTATGGTGATGAATAACAATAACAGTAATGATTATTGATTATTGTATATGGCCTAGGCTATGTAGTTCATCTTGGTGAAGTAGGCCATGTAATTCTCATTTTATTGGCTCATCAGAAAAGACATGATGTACTTTTCTATGTATTTTTCTATGCAAAAATGCATCATGACTTCCAATGGCCCCACAGGATACAGTAGAAACTGAGCAACTAAAATGACTTGACCAATACCCCCAAATCATAATTTTTTTTAAGAGGTTTTTGCCTCAAGGCATTGTGTGTTTGTCAGAGAGAGGGAGACAGTGACAGGGAAAGTGAGAAATCCCCCCTGAGGTGATGGCCACATGCCACAATCCCTTCTCTTTCATTCTCGTCCTGGGAACTTGGGCACACATGCATAGGTGCCTGATGTGAGTTTCAAGCCATTAGGGCCAGGACTCAAACTAAAGTCGACCATGTGGGAATCCAGTGACATAATCACTATGCCATCTGTTAGTCCTGCAAAATCATAATTTGACAAAGAGAAGATATAAACTTAGGTCTATTCAGTCCCTAGTCCCTGGCCTTAACCATCATACTTCACCCAGACATTCCTGTATTCTTTCTTTTAATAGTTGTTTAGTTATGCTCAGGGAACTTGAATAGTCCTAAATGGCCCCCTGATGTTACAGATTCATGTATATATATCTAACAAAACAAGGTGCATTTTCATGATTAAAACACATTTTCAAAAATCCAATATTCATGAACACATTGTAAAAAATCCAATATTCACTCAATATACATGGACAGGTAGCAATTAATCTGAGTTTTTGTGAACTGGAACGCAGTGATGGAGAGAAAAGCCATGACCCACTTAGATTAGGCATTCTACCCTCCTAACTATACATTTCCTAATGCAGATTTGCCCAACACTTTAATATTTATGAAGCATTTTATAACTACAAGCCTTTGAACATTTTCTATAGTCAAGATTCATTAACATGATTTTACAGGTGAGCAAACTGACACTCAGAAAGGCTGAGTAATTGCCAAAGTTATAAGTAAATAATGTCTGCATGTTCCAATTTTACTAACTTAATAATTTAAAATTTTATTTTAACACAGAATACTCAGTGTATAACATAATATAGTTAAGTGCTTCTATTCTTTTCTAGCCTTAATATTTTATAAATTATTCTGTCTCTTTTCAAAATGGTGAGTCCATTAATATCCTATGTCTACCTTCAGTGAAAAATAACTGGATTCCTTAATGAAATGGGTGCTTAGGTTTGATAATTGTGTTGAAAGTGGAAACTCAAAATATTGTAAGGGTAGAATAGCATGATCTATAACACAGTCACATAAGTAAGGCACTTTAAAGACACCTCAGTGGTCCCAAGCTCAAGATAAGTACCACTTGTCCAGGTCAGAAGCGTCTGGCCTTTGCGATAAACATCCCATTACAGCTGGAACCACAAAGACAGACATTCAAATTACTATCCTAGCTGGTTTTCTTCCCATTTTCTTGAGAAAACAGCTACTTCACCTAAATCAAGCACTGAAAATCACTCTGTGAGGATATAGTACTCTCTGATTTCAATAATAAGAGGTCAAGGGTATAATTCCAAGTGGTCTGAGCTTTTCTTAACTTGCTTTCAATGTTGTTATAAGTTTGAATTTAGGAGAACATCTTTAAGCACTTTTCTTTAGCTAACCAGCTCTTCCTAGCTGCAGGGGTGTTCCATATGTCAAGTAGTCTAGGAATTAGGAAACTAGTGTATGTGTTCATTCCCTAGCTATAGGCCAATAAAGAGCTGCTAGATACTACCTTTTGTAGTAGTACACATTCTATAATTTTAGAATGGATTACCAGAAGCTCTCTTACTTATTCTGAAAGCACTTATCTGGCCTATTAAAAGAAAAAGAAAAATTCTTTCCCAATCTAGTCTTATGAGATCTTCTACCAATCTATATGTTAATATTTAAATATCCTCATTAGTACAAAGTCATCTAACTTTTCACACTCTTGAAATTCTTTAAATATCTCTAGCTCAGGTTTAGCATTATGATTATAGTTTTTGTTGTTTTTAAAAAGCGGAAACTATTCTTTTGGAAAGTTTTCCCTACTTTGTCTTAGTTAAAGTCTTCTGAAGCATTGATATTCCACTATCTCAGCTATGCATTGATAACGTTATTGCAGTTATACATTGGTAATGTTATTTCTCTGTTTTTGTACATGGAATGAGAGCATTGTGGAAAATGGTCAGGTTTACATATTAGTTACCAGAAACACATAGAAATCAACATTTCACATTTGTATCTTTTTTGGAAATACTTAGGTATCTCTTTGACAAAAACATTCTTTCTATAAACCAGTAATGGCCAAATCCTTAGCCCTTAGCAAAAACAAAACAAAACAAAACAAAATGCAATCTGAATCTCTTGATAATAGATTTGTCATATATATTCCAATTAGTAATAATCTTGAGAACAAGGTACATATCTTCTCTAGCTTTCTAGCAAGCATCTTGGGTTTTCCATTAAATATGAAGAATGTATTCACTTATCCAGTGACCCACAAATATCCAATACTTGCTTACCCTTCACTTGTCTCTGTACTTGCTACCAACATAAAGGTCCCTTCTACCTTGACTTTGTATACATCTGTCTTTGGTCTGTGGGAAAAAAAACAGTTATAAACCATATAGACAAGAACCATGAGGATTCTTTGAAAAGTTTATGGAAAATGCATGTCATAGTAAACTGTGCGTGTATCTCAAATTTTTTTGCACCAAAATAAACTCATACTTTAATTTCATTTTTCCACAAACTTTTTGAAGTTCCCCTACTATCTCTCTCATATTCTAGCCTAGCAACTTACTAATTCATACTAGAGCATACAGTACTGCGGTGGAGAGTGAGGGAGATACTGAATTGAGAAATGATTTCTCCCAGGTTCCTTTCAGTATGTACTGTGGCTCATGGTTCACAGTAGTGACAGAGGGAGGTGGAAGTGGTTGTCATGTACATCTAAATAGAATATGTATTACTAGAAGTTAAAAAATAAAAGCTATAAATTTCACTTTTTTGAACTACATTATCCACATTGGTAGGATCTGAGAAGGGGAGAGCTTAAAGAACAGGATGCTGTTGTGTTAAGACTGACTGCTATAATACATGTGAGAGCAAACTGACGTGCTGAAGAATTAAATTATGAATTTAGGCAGACTTCTACAGGATTACATGTCAATGGTGTTGTATTTAAGTGACACTTTCTAGATTAAAAACAAGTTGAAGCAGGATTCCAAAGGATTCTTTTCCATTGAAAACATATATTTTGTAAAAGATTTAGCTTTAATAATGTGAGAGAAAATAAAGTGAAGAAACACGTTACATAAGTACCTTCTTCCAACCAGGTACTTTACAGATTCTCATTTAATTATCAAAATAATCCTAGAAATAAGAAAAATTAGTTCATTTAGCCCCTAAAGAAGCTTAGGCTTTGGAAAGTAAAGTAACTAGCCAAAGGGCACATAACTCATGCTCTTTCATCCAACTCATACCATTCCTATGAATATCTAGTCTGCTCAAATATTCATGGAAGGTGAATTTAATTCTGGTATCTTTATAATGTAAGATTCAATGTTAACTTTGAATTTCCACTGGATGGTTAGTGAACCATGAATCAGTCTGCAATGCTCTTTGACCACTTAAAATGGATAAATAATGAGAATATTAGAATTCAAGGGGGAAAAAAAATCTTATTCCTGAAAGGAATGGTGTCTGAAGAAGACAGAATGTACACAACTTTATAGAAAAACGTGCACCTCTACAAAAATATGGTATACCCCAAATCATTTTATAAGCAATAAAATGAGAAAGAATTGACTGTGGATGCCACTGGAATGACTCAAGTTACTCAAGGTATGTCTAGAAGCTACATTTTACAGAATTTAAAAACTAGAGGGGTTCATTACCTATTAGGCATAGTAAACTGAACCTCATTAAATCCTTATCTCAACTATGTAAAGTGAATATTAGCATTATCTCAATTTTAACTGGTGATGAGACTAAGAAAGAAAGAGTTCGAGCATTCTGCCTCAGTTTCCAGGGCTGGTAAGTGTCAGAGCAAGAGAGCTGGCCTTTGAACTGAGGCAGTACTGGGTCACTGTTCTCACACTTAACATATATCTTTTATGTCAGTGTGCCCATGTAAGGATAGTAGCTATGTTCATCCAGGGATATAAAGATTGTGATTCTCTAATGCATGACTTTTTTTTTTTTTTTTTTAAGGTTTCTGCCATAAGGCATGTGTGTTCGCTGGAGAGAGACACAGAGAAAGTGAGAAATCACCCCTGAGAAGGTATGGCCATGCTGCAATCCCTTCTCCTTTCTTCTCTTTTCAGGATTTTGGGCACACACTCATACTCAAGTCGTGATCGTCCATGTGAGAATCCAGCAAAACCACCACATCACCTGCTGGCCCCATGCCTGCTACATTTTATATGTGAAAACGCTTCCCCACTTGTCTGTAGAGGAGGAAGTCTATTAATTTATTCAAAAATATTTATTGGATACCTACACTGTGCCATACACAACTCATGCCGGGAACAAGGCAATGGGGAGGTAGTCAAGGACTCCACTTTGTTACACAAAGGGTACTAGACACTCTACACATTAGCAAGGCATTACAATACCTTTTCATTTTTTTTCTTTAGAGGATCTTTTTTAAGTTGCCAGAGGGTGTATGCGCTTATCAGAGACAGAAAGAGAGTGTGCTTCCCCAATGGGGTGTGGTCACACCCCAATCATTTTTCCTAATTTCTCCACTGTATCAAGATTTTTGGGGCCACCCAATGGCATGGTGGTTAAGGCAACTGGATCCCACATGGTTGACTATGAAGTTGAGTCCCAGACCTGGTGGCCTGAAAAACACAGCAGGGGCATGTGCATGCATGCCCCAAATCCAGAAAGGAGAATGGAAGAGAAGGGATTGCAGCATGACTATCCCTCCTGGGGGTGGGGTGGTGGTGGTGTGTTTCACATTCTCTCTCTCTCTCTGTCTCTTCTGTCTCTCTCCAGCATGCCCTATAGCAAATTAAAAACAAAACATTTTGACCATGCACATACATGTTTTTCAAGCCACCAGGTTGGGAGTTTCACTGCAGTGGGCCATGTGAGCAACTGTTCCCTGCACTGTGCTTAACTGCTGAGCTATGGGCCAGCTCCACTGCCTTTTAATTGGAATATAATGGATACTTGCATTAATTAGAGCAAATGAGTTAGCCTTAAGAATTCCTACCATTCTTGGAACCAGCAGTTAGCGTAATGGCTATGTCGCTGGACTCCCACGTAGTTGACCGGGGTTTGCGTCTCGGACCCGGTGGCTTGAATCTCACGCCGGGCGCGTGTGCGTGCGTGCCCAAGATCCCGAGAGGAGAATGGAGGAGAAGGGATTGCGGCGTGACCATCCCCCCTGGGGGGTGATTTCTCGCTTTCTGTCTCTATGTCTCTCTCTGTCTGTCTGGCGAGCGCACGCGTCCTATAGCGAAAACCTCTCCAAAAAAAAAAAAAAAAAGAATTCCTACCATTCTTAATAATTTAACACTACTAAGTAGGAAGGTGTGAGGGATTCCCCTTTAGAACCAGAGGATTAGTTTAAATACCGAGTGATTTTTTGAATGAAGCCTTAAACCACATACCTTGTAGCAGTTACCTTTTCATAACATAGCAAGTCCCCCTTGTTCATTTGGGAAGTTCGCTCCCACTATCCAAGATCGCTTGTTACACATATTGCTTAGTTGCTTAGTGTTCTCTACCCAGTACATTCTAAGTAATTAATTGGTCTATGACATAATAATGTGGAGGCCACGATACCTATATGATTGTCTTAAATTGTCACTATCGTTACTATCCTATCCTCAAACTATCAATTTTTCATGATTAAGTAGCATTTTTAGCTTAACAGTGTTTTCTCCTGATGGTAAAGGCCTACCTCTAAAAAAAATGAATTAGCATTCTAGAAAACTGCTAAGGTTAAACATGTTTTTATGCAAAGGGCAGGGCTCTACGAACATTTTCCTCTCTGGGACTTGTACACATGCTTCCTGACCTGCTTATGGGAGTGCAGTGGAGGGCGGCGTGAGCATATCGGGCTTTGAGAAGGGCCCTTTGAGGGTCTGCTGTCTAGGCGTGCACATAAGGACCCACAAGGCATCAGACAATGTTACATATTTGCATACAGACCCAGGCACACACGTGGATGTGGAAACTCACATATGGGTGTTTTCTGTATGCATGTGTTGTAAGCCCGCCTCGGTCTCCTTTCCCCTGACCCCTGAGGCACTTATGCAGTTCCTGGAACTCAGGGAACATCCAGGGGAGGAAACAGCCCTTTTCTCTTCCCTAGTGACTGGTCCCAGGAATCTGCAATGCCTGCTCTCACAAGCAGCTAATAAAAGGAGGCAGAGAAGATGAGCAAGAGAATAATACAAGGACTGAGAAAGGAGTCAGTGGTTGTACAAGAGATGATGCTTCCGGAGCTACCCTGCTATGATTTCTGCGTTTTTACATACAATGCCCTGTGAAGCTCGGAGTGGCAAAGAAATCCCCAATCTCAAATCCCCAGAGATTCTTTTTCTGATTGTGCCTAGAAGCCATCGCTAGGCTTGCGTCCTGTGCAGGGTTAAGGAATCCCAGGGAGCACTGACTTAACTGAATGCACAGGCAGAAACTCGCAGCTCCGCATCCGGCTCTTTGCGCTTTCGTGCGGTTTGCGCTCAGAAGACGCGTCCACGCACCATTTTCCCAGGCGTTGTGCAGTTTTCTCAAATCGCTCAGCTGGCATCTCCGAAGGGAGTTTCTCTACTGCCT